CACAGCCCTTAGTTTGTTCTTTATGTGAACGTTTTCCATGGCAGCCAAGCTAAAACGTTCATTTCTTTGACAAATACCTCTCAGGGTTAAGCCACTCATCTTGTTTGCGAGTTTGACTTTAGCATTAGCTCTCTGACTAAACTAGTTTGAATAACACTTGACTGAACAAACATTCTCATTTAACTTATCAGATGATAGGATTTATTATATCTGATTTCCTGCATCAGATTTATTACTTGTCTGAAACGTAATACCCAAAAAGCTGTTTCTGAAAGTATAGCTTCAGTAAATAAACTTGACTAAAACAGTTTAAATTGAACACAATGAAGCCCTTCTCTTTAATACGAAACATGCTGTGCACATCCATCATCTCCCAAGGTGAGAGCCAAACATTTACAGGCAGTAAAACAATAGCCTCGATTGAAGTGGTGTACATTCTACACTAAGACATCTACACATGATCTATGCCTTTGCTTGCAAAGTCTTGGCCTTTGTTTAAATACAAAATTAAAATACATTTCGTGAACCGTAGATAGCTGAAAGCGTTAGCCCAACAGCAAACTCCAGGGACCATGGGAGAAAAATCTGCCTTTTGGCCGAGGAGGGATTGGGAATGGAGGGCTAAACAACAGAGTAAATATTTGGCAGTGGAGAGCTCTTGGAAGCGGCAGAGTGCCCACTTCGGCTGAAGCCTGTGGGTGTTAAATAGATTAAGGGGGCTACTGGGTCATTATGGAAAGAGAAATTCCTGCTCTTTGGACATGACTTCTTTGCTTTTGCGTGTTTTTGCTCTCCAATCGAGTGGCCTCTGTAAGCAATCCACTTCAGCTGACCCTAATAGAGCTACTGTATTCAACCCAGACTTGCAAAACTTTAACATACCGCATATTTGGCAGATGCAAATTATATTTAGTGTGTCTACATTAATAGAGTTCTTTTTCAACTTGTATGTATTCAACTAAATAAGTCAAGTTTTTATTTCCTACTGCAACATAAAATAAAACTTTTGATAAAGAGAAAACATATTTTGAAATAGTTAAACTTTTTTTTTAATATAAATTCAAGTTGACATGTTAGTAGTTTCCCTAATAACCACAACTAAGATGAGCTTTTTGTCACAGACTACCTTGGTTTTTTTAAGATGAACAATCTACTAAACAGCAATAAAGCTTAAAGCTACAGCTTAGCATTAGCATTCATGACTTGACATACTTCATGCTCCAACACAAACTGTATATATATAGTGTAAACATGCACAAATAGTGTTGGACTATAAGATTTCTCCATTTTAATTTCTGAGTCACTTGCTGTTATTTTTATTCCCTTTTAATGTATTTGGAGCAGAGGTAAAATCAGATGAATATCTTTAAGCAACTTGCAAAAGAAAAGAAAAGACACAGATTTTGTTGATCTTTGAAACCTAAATGGAATTTAATATGGCCTTAATCACACATGTAATATTGCTCCGGCCTATAGACTGGGCGGCAGGAGACGCGGAGCAGTAGATAGTGTCCCGGATCCCATTGAGCTCCATTGAAAACCATGACAACACAGAACAAGCTCAGATTTATCCCGTGAGGTTAAAGCACATTGTGTTTGGGCGTCAATCAGCCATTATAGCCGCACTGAACAAATGCAAAATCTTGACTGGAACAAATGCTTCCAACGGGTCTCGGACGCGGGGCTACATTTTCCCTCTTTGTTCTCCTTCTCTGGTTGGCATGTATTGGTGTTGCGCCCCCCTCCATTTCTCACCCGACCACCCAGGACGCCCGGGGAGGCCGCGCTCTCCTCCACGGTCCTCCATGAGGAGGGAGAGGCGCGATGTCAGTGAAGGAGCGAAAATCACACATCAGGCAGGATCAATCAACTAATAAAAGATGTTTGGATCAATCAACTAATAAAAGATGTTTGGATCAATCAACTAATAAAAGATGTTTGGATCAACAGGCGCATCAAGTTTTCCCCAGGTCGCTGTTTCTAAGTTGCCTGATGCATTTTTAGAGAAGTCAGAAGAAAGTGATTAATGATAAGATGTTATTTCCATTTCCCTGGTCGGTAGAATGAAGAATTGCTGATCATTTGTTTTACCAATTAATATAAGGGATGATTAATTACACGAAAAAAACAAACTGGTGGAAGTTAAAACTAGTTAAATGACACGCCCTCTAAATGGTTTATGCTCCTAATTAGGACAGAAGAGTTAGTTTATAAGAGATGATATAATATATTTATAGGTTTCCGAATAGATAAAAAAGGAAAATATGTTGTTGAAATAATTTCGGTTTAAAGGATGTGACAAATGGTGAACGATGACTCAGAACCCTTAACAAAAAGTAGTATACTGAAGTAAATTCTATTAAAAATACATAAGTATAAGTTTTGAAAGTATACCGAACAATGTACTTTTAGTGTACTTGAAGTATATTACTAAAGTAATACTTCTTCGAACTAACTTGGGACATTTTTAAGTTTACTAAAGTATACTTAAAGTATACTTTAGTAAACAATAAAGTAAACATAGTCAAATACACTTGACTATACTATTGTTATAAATAAATAAATATAGTTTAGAATAAGTAAACTAAGTGCACTGCCTGATTTTAATGAAATCAGTGCACTTTTATTATACTTGAATAAACTACTTTTTGCTAAGGGAAGTTAAAGGTTAAAAATAAGTTAAAGGTTATATAGTGGTTTAATGGAGAAAATTTATTTTCAACTTAATCAAATTAAGTTCTCATTAGGCCGCACATGTTGATAAAGTCCTAATAAAATCGTAAATAAGCCGCATCTACTGTCCGATCTGAATCAGCAATTTAAAGACACAAAACTTGGTTAATTAAATGTTATTATCTATGGTTTAATTAAAGCAATGGTTTATTATTAATTATGCTTATGACAAATTCATGATTTGTTTTAGGAACAACGGGATTCAATTAAAATGTAGGTAATTTATTTTCATGTAATCTATAGAATATAGCAGCAAACATAGGGCTGATGACACATAGAAATTAATATACTATCTAATATATTAAATTAATCAAGTCTAGAGCAAAATTGTATGTTTTATTCCGCCTAAAAGGTATCACTGGCTCACTGACTGTAAGTTAAACCCTGAGGATTTTTAAAATGGGACCTGTGTCATGTGATTCTGCAGCCAACACGATCCCACCGGTCTGTAGTTGGAAAGACCCCCTACATCCATAAAATGTCTCCACATATGAGCAGTCTGATCTGGCAGGTTTTACTTTGGGAACATTTAGACGTTTAATAGAGTTAAGCGTGATGGATTTAGCATTTTGATTAATAAAACCTGTTAAATATTTCTTTTTAAATTTGATCTAATTTAGAATAGTAATGTGGAAACAATAGCAGATCTCTTTGAACACTTAAACTAATCAATTTAAGTACAACTGTTTTAAAGATAAGATAATTAAACTAATTTTATAGCTGTTTGGTGAATTATAATATTTTTTTCTGTCTGTTGGCAAAAAATAATAGTTTTTACCGTATCAGCCATGAATAAAGACAAGAACAAACCGACATAAGATATTTAAAAAAAGAGACGTCCTGTGGTTGGAGGGAAGGCAGTCCATTCAGTCATATATTGCTTCTTATTCAAATTACTTTAATTTAAATGTAACAATCAAAACTATAAAAAAAACCCGCATATATGAAGCCAAATAGCCCAAAACTTTTGTAATAAGAGTTTATTCTCGCATTAAATTACACAATATCCTGAAAAAGGCAGAGAAAGAGAGAGGGCATCCCTACTGGAGTGTTTGGGAATCCTCCAGCGTCCATAAAGCTCCAAACTTCTCACGCTGCAAGCGATCCGCACATTAGTGGCGCATTAGTTAAACCAACTCTGCGGGCATCACGCTAATTGTTCACTTTGTATGCAAATATTGGACACGTTGTTTGGACAAGAGCAGGAGAAGGGGGACAGAGTGAAGGGGCATGGAGGAGGAGGGAGGGCAGTTTGATGATGGGACAGCCTCTGTTGTCAGTTGCCACCCAAGACGTGATTCAGCTCCAACAATTACCATTATCTGTTTCTCAGTTGGACGATACGGGACGAATCTGTAATGATGACGAGTGTTTCCTTGGTTCTTTGTGTAGTTTTTCTTTTCTTTTTTTTTTAAGTCCACACCCAGCCATCATTGGTGACAGCACTCCAGCCATTCAGGTGCTGAGCGGAGGAGGAGGCTATATAACAGGAGGCGCACATGGAGAGGTCTGTTTGTGTACACACTGAGCCAGGCGCACGGATTGTTGTTTGAACGCTGCAGCGAAGTGGGATAGATTAACTTTGAGAGCTCTCTTCCATCTTAAGGGGAGAAAACACAGGATTATACCCGATTGTACGCGATGACTGCACCGAACAGGTTCAGCTTCTCCGTCAGGAGCATCCTGGATTTACCTGAGAAGGAGGCGGAGGCTGCGCCGCGGTCCTCCTCGGTTCACTCCTCCTGCTCCTCCAGCTCACCATACACCTCCTGGGTCGAGTGTGATCGGAGCCCCAGCATGTGTAAGCGCATGGTTGATTTTACAGGCAAATGCATGCAGTGTTTATATTTCATTATAATTCTATGAGGATTCCAACAATCTATCAAAAAAGTAAAACATTATTTTACGCAATATTTTCAAAAATATGTATTTCTGTTTTCCACCATAGCTTCTGATGAAGGCAATTTGGAACTGTCCCCCGACTCAACCAAGCCGGATGATTCGTCCCTTGATTTGGAGCCAGAGAGGATCAAGAAGAGCAAGAAGCGCCGCGTCTTGTTCTCCAAAGCCCAAACTCTGGAGCTGGAGAGACGCTTTCGCCAGCAGCGCTACCTGTCCGGGCCGGAGAGGGAGCAGCTGGCACGGATCCTCAACCTCACACCGACCCAAGTCAAGATCTGGTTCCAGAACCACCGCTACAAGATGAAGAGAGGCCGGGCAGAAGGCGCGCTGCCTCCGGACGCAGACATACCGCAGCCTCCGCTGCTGCGCAGGGTTGTTGTTCCGATTCTGGTCCGGGACGGGAAGCCGTTTCACACCTGCTTTATTGAAACGGAGAAAATGGGCTGCTTAACCTCTCCTGCTCCTCCTCATCCTCAGGCAGCTTCCTTCCACTTAGCTTTCCCTCCACTCCAGCACCCCTCCACTGGACCTCTTCCTCCCCGGTACCAACAGCACTTTCCAGCTGCGGCGGCCTCCAGGTTTGCTTGGAGGGACTTTTGGAGCGACTCGGTTCCCTTTAATCCTCTGAAATGAGGCTCCTCATAAAGAAGCACATACTCATTTAGAATGGCATCAAATGTTTTCTAAATGTTTAAAACATTTTTTGAGCTACTTAAACATTTAGATTTTAGAACAAATACTATTTTGCACATTTTGTTGGAATATGTTTGGTGTTGGGGTTATTTTTATATGAATGATGAAAGATTTTTCTTTGATACTCTTGTACTGTAGAATATTTTTAAATTGATAATGCATTTTGTATTGTTTTTCTCTTCCCATCTTTATATGTTTTTAATTATGTGTATATATAACTTTACGCATTTCAGTAGTTAAAGAGTGGTTCATCCTATAGGAAGAAATCAGCCTGTAGTCTCATTGTATAAAGGAAAATGTAATATTTAGTTATTTTATTTTATTTTGTCTTCCTTTGAACTGCCTTTAAAGTTTAAACTGTTTCATCATGTTGCAAAAAATGTTATGAATAAACCCTTCTATTTTGGAATAATTCATTTTTGAGTATCCTGCTACTTTCCCATGTAAACCAGCTGTGATATTGGATCTCAATGACCAGGCATATTTTGCTTAATTTTCTCATATTAAAACATATTTTTTGATTAGATTTATTTCCAAAGCTGGAAATATTTCTTATTTCGAAACATTTTAATGCATACCTTAACATTACATATGATTTATTCATTTAATTTAGTTAAAGTGCACATGTAGTTTTTCCTCATTTAAACATCTTTTACTCTTATCTGTCTAGTTTTATATTCAATAGATGCATTTTCTTAAAATCATTAAATCAGTTGTGTTTATTGATAGTTATACTATATATTTTTAATTTGTGTCAGTTCTAAAATGCATATAAATAGAGTAAATCCTCGCTGTTTAAAAAGGAATTTAAGAAGGTTTCAGGTTAATGTAAAAGCTAAAAAAGCTAATTATGCAGCCAAAAGCTGAGCAAACATCTCCTCTAAAGGACTGGATTTGGTTAAGCATGAGAAAGGCAGCCTCTTTTATCAAAGCCCCACGTTGGGGTCTGAGGCCAGGGGGTCCTTCGCTTATTCTGTTATGTTTTGTTATTCTGATGAAAGTAAGCTAAATGCAGCTATTGGCACTTTCTGGAAATGTTGGCTTGTTCCTATTATAACTATATAAAAAGATAAAGATAACTGAACTTTTTCCATATATTTGTTATCATTTAATAACAGTTAATCTTGTTTTATTTTTTAAATGCCCCTTCCTACCGGATTAGGTAAACAGTGGTGGGTATGGTTAACTTACAATGTTGAGTTGGATGCGTTTAATTCCCAGCTTGAATCTTAAATGTTTTATTCTGCAGCTCAAAAACTGCTGCATAAGATCAGCAGAAGGTGGAATTAGAAATTTTGATGACTCTATATAGGTTAATTATGGAACCAGCACAGCTTAGATGTAAAACTCCTCTGTCAGCAGCCTCATGGAAGCAAGACTTCCCTGATCATTGGCCCAAAATGAAAAATATGTCTATGTGTTTAAAATCATGTCAGTGCCTGGGGGGCCCGTGCACTTCCACGCCCCCTATAATGTTGTTTGCTCGTCCTGTGACCCCGAAGCTCATCGTCCCTGTCACCTGGCCCTTTGTCCCCATCACTGGGGCCACCTTGCATCACATATGGAGGGGACTGACTGAACCCCTCAGCTTGCAGCATCTCCCCTTAAACGCTTTCTTTGTCCGGGTGTCTCCCCCTGAATGGACCATTGTACCTCCACCAAAGGGGACTGAGACAAAATCTTTAGTGTTTCAATTCTCGTGATGTTTAATCAGTCCCTGCGACAAATTTATGAGCTTTGACCACACAATGGTGTTTTAGAGCATCTTGGGGGTTTAAGAGTGACAAAGACAGGCTTTTAGAGGTTGCCATTGGTTTTTTAAGTTAGTCAGAAGAATTGTCTGAATGGGGACTGGCTTGTATTGGTCTGCCCATCCTTTAGTTTTACTCACTGGCCGGCTCTGGGCATCCCACAAACTTAGAAGACCCACATTTACTAGGCCTCAGAAGGTGTTTGGTAAAGTTTTTAGACATAACTTGTGCTGTAATTACAATACAGATTAAACTCAGTAAATAATTTAGTGAAATTGACCTTTAAATTGCTAATCCGGAGTCTTTGTTTGCAGCTCTCCTCTTAATTATTGGCACACCTGCAAAATAGGTTTAAAATATTAGGACTGATCAACCTTTTATAAGAGTTTTTTAAGCTAGAATTTTAGCTTTACTGTACCAATTGTTAGCTTTTGAGACTTTTTAAACTCTCTATTTTTACTCTTTTCAACGTGTAATGACGATATATCTTCAGCTCCTCATTGTGCCATATTTATAAAAGTTTGAATGTTTACAAAGTTCAATTTCCACTTTAAGTGCAGGAAGGAATGCCATAAGAATCCCTCCCAAACACACATTTGTTGTCTTGAATGGCACATTTTCTAGTTTTTCCCATTTTTTTAGTGTGCCTCAAAGTCACATCATATACAACCAGGAAAAAAGATAAGCATTGATTTTAAATAAAACCTTCTTAGAAGGGAAGGATTTAAAAGCAATTATGGTTTACATTTAAAATTATTATTTTATTGGAAGTCAGGGGATACAGTTGGTTGAGTTGTGGCCCATGGAGAAAGTTTTTTAATTGTGGTTTACATTTTGTAATGATGACTGTTAGCTCCATGCCTGACTGTTTTCTCCATTATAATTTGTGCTATTATCAATTTCCAATAATTAATTCTGATTATGTCCCCAACCATCTGCTTCACATTGTGTTAATTGTTCTTACCTGATCCAGAAAAGCCCCTCCTCAGTCTGAACACTGACTTTGAGCAGTTTCTCCTTCTGCAGCAATTTTCTATTGTTTCCTTGTGTATCTCTCATGTAATACTTTAAGGAAAATATATAATCATTATCTAAATTATCCTGTCATCTAACAACTCCCAAACTGAAAACCAATTACAGGTGCTTATGTAACAAATCTAGATATTTTTACCCACTTAATACTCTTATACTCTTAAATCATACTACTTAAAGGAAAAAATATGAATTGCTCACATCAGTGTCATAACCAAGGCATTGCTCATGCACCAGTCATCTGATAAGAAAGGCTTAAACTGATTAAACATATTCTGTGTTATTCAATAAGGACACAAAATTATTTTTTGTGTTTCCCTTTGACAATTGCATGTGTTGCAGCTCGCTGTTGTTTAACATTGGACAAATACTTAGGATGAGCATATGGACTGTTCACCCTGTTCACTTCACATTTTTTGCAATAAATACAATCGCTTCTTTCAGAGAGCCCCAAGGCAGCTGTGGCTACAATGTAGTTTGCCCACTGGAAAAAATCTAAATCTAGATAAGTCATTTTTTCTTAAAATAAATGCATTTATTCTTTGATTGAGGAGGTAAAAGAGACATTCTGCCAATGGAACAAGACAATTTACACTTAAAATAAGAAAAAAAAAATTGCATTGTCTTATTTCAAGTGCATATTATCTAATTATCTTATTTTAAGAATAAAAATACTCATTCCATTGGCAAACTATCTCATTTTTCTGCTCAAATTAAGGGTAAATACACTTAAGATATTTTTACTTATTTGTAGATGGTTTTTCCAGTGCCACCATCAGTGTGTATCTGTGAAGGGTTAAAGCCTGAATAGTAAACCGCCCTGGTCAAGTCCTCTGACTTGAAAAAGTTCTATATAAGAACTGGCCATTAACTATTTATAAATTCTTTCCCACAAAGACCCAATTTGTTCTTCTACTCTAAGAAATCAAGTTTATTGGTCATACACTCAACAAAAATATAAACGCAACTCTTTTGGTTTTTCTCCCATTTTTCATGAGGGGAACTGAAACATACATTTTATTTTACACAAACCAGTCTAAGGCTCTGTTCGAAAACCTGGGCTGCATCCTCCAAGGACACGGTCTACCTAGACTGGATCCTTCGAAGTCCGTGAAAATAAGGAGACCGGAAGCGTTTTGGCTGTGTATTCAAACAGGTCTACCCTTCGGAGGGTTTTACCGCCGTATGCTCTGTTGCTTAGCAACCGTGAAAGTTGACACACAAAGCAGGAAAAGAATGAATACCGAGGTTTTCAAAACTGTTTGTTTATTTATACATTTATTTTTTATTATAAAGTGAACAAAGACTACACTCACAAGAATCCAGAATGGAATAAATGTTCCAACCACCGGGAGCAGGAACAAA